TACGGGTTACGAGTAGAACTGTAACAGCAAGTCTTCTCCCTGAATCAGAAACATCATGATTGAGACCCGATTTCAAGTCACAAGTAGTGAGGACTAACTGGCCCAATAGGAGAAGCAGGGGTTACGAGGCTGGTCGGGAAAATTCCCTACCCCATTTTTAGACCATAATGGTTTGTTCCACTTCCACTCACGTGGGTTCTTTATTAATGTGCTTGAGGTGTGTCTCTCCTCAAAGATCCTCAAACACGGGACCTCCATTTAACGTCCTGTAGCCGATTAGACGTCCCTGAATAACCGAAGCTAGGTACTCATTTTCATCTGAGTGAAGTGAGGAAAGTCGTGTTAAGTACCTTTCCGAAGGGTACAACGTCGGGGCGCATGTTCGGACTTGTTCGGGCACGGCCCGGAATCGAACCCGGGAATTCATAGTCCAGTGATCTACCACTACGCCACACGACGCCACTTTATACTAATGATACTAATGGTTAAGCACATCATCTCTTGAGACGTGGAGCTTCCTGTATTTTAGACAGACAGTGCTCTGACTTGCAACCCTTCGTGGATCTTTCGATCATTTCCAACGCGTCATTCGAGACTCAATTTGTATAGGGTTGTTCTAGATCCCGCTTATAAATCCCACTGTCAGATAGCACTCCAATGCGTATAATTCATGGCCGCCAACATTTAATCTGCCCGATAGAAAGAAGCGTCAAAATACCAATTTATTAATCACGTTGGTTTAAAAAAACGATTAATTAGGCGGATATAATGTCACGTGCTGTCTGATTACCAACATAAGTTGTGTGTGCGTGTTTGTGTGTGTTTGTGTGTGTTTGTGTAATATACTATGTACCTTTGTGTACATGTGCGTGAGTGTATTACATTGTGTGTGTTTGATTGTGTGTGTTTGTGTGTGTTTGATTGTGTGTGTTTGATTGTGTGTGTGTGTGTGTGTGTGTGTGTGTGTGAGAGTGTGTTACATTGTGTGTGTGTGTGTGTGTGTTTGATTGTGTTTGTTTGTGTGTGTGTGTGTGTGTTTGTATGTAATATATGAATGGTTTATTCATTGTGCGAATATAAACTCGTCGCAGCCTTTAGCTGAATTGTGAGTTCATGTACATATACAAATTGCACAGGTTGACATAAACAATCAAGGTGACAATACATATTAAAAGGATGAAATACATAATTAAAAGTCGTAATGCATATATAAAATGGTACAATTACATATTTAAAAGATATAAATTAATTATCAAAGATCAATTAATAATCTAAATGCCACAATTATCTAAACTAAATGCCATCGTTTAACAGGTTAACAATATACGGTAGAGGGCTATTTTGGTAGCGTTTAGTACGTGCTGGCAATGGGTCGTATTTGTGACTTTGTCTGGTAACCCTCCCGCTGACTTTGCCCCTTTGTTGAGGTAACCACTGTTTGTAAGTGTCGGACTTGGACAGGGTCTTGCCGAACTTGTAGCACAGGGTTTCCCGTCTGTCATGCAAGGTTTGTAGGTTCAGGGTTTTGCATGACTGGTCGTAGGGTAGGTTGTGGCCAAGAATGATTTTGGTTGCGCGTTTCTGGATCCTTTCGATCTTCCGTCGTTGCGTTGTCGTGAGACCTGGGTGCCATACAGGAGCCCCATATTCCAATACAGGGCGAATAAAGCATGTATACACTGTTACAAGGTCATCTGCAGGCACGTTGAATTGTCGGAGACGGCATAACAGGTGAAGTCTTTGGCTCCCTTTCTTTGTTACGTCTGCAACGTGAGTGTCCCATCTCAGGTCTGACTGGAACGTAATGCCAAGACACTTTGCGGATTTTACGACCTCGAGTACGTGACCGTTGATGCTGAGAGGGGGTGGTGGGGAAGGGTTGCGGCAGAAGCAAACATGGACGGTCTTGCATTTACCTGGGTTTAGTTTCATGTTGTTCTTGTCAGACCATGTTGATAGTTCATTGAGGTCGTTTTGTAGACGGGACTGATCGGAAAGGACTCTTGACTCAATAAGGTTAAGGTCGTCCACAAATGCCCAGGTGGGGGATTGAATGTTGTCAGTTGAACTGTTTGTATGGGCAATGAAGACGATTGGGCCTAGTTTAGTACCCTAGGCGAGACCACACGTGAGTTGTTTTGATTCTGACAGAACTCCGTGGTACCTGGTCCGTTGACTGCGTCCTGAGTGGAAGTTGGCTATCCACGGTAAAATCCCAGGTCTGACTCCCAGATCCAACAGGTGTGTCATTGCCATAGTGTGTTCTACAAGGTCAAATGCCTTGCTGTAATCTGTAAGTACCCAGGTGCTACAGGTCCCCCGAACATCCGCAGTTTTGTAGAGTTGATTAAATTAGAGTTGATTTAATATACTATGTACCTTTGTGTGTGTGTGTGTGTTTATGTATGTGCGTGAGTGTGTCACATTGTTTGTGTGTGTGTGTGTTTCTTTTTGTGTGTGTGTGTGTGTGAGTGTGTGTGTGTGTGAGTGTGTGTGAGTGTGTTACATTGTGTGTGTGTGTGTGTGTTTGATTGTGTGTTTGTGTGTGTGTGTGTGTGAGTGTGTTACATTGTGTGTGTGTGTGTGTGTTTGATTGTGTTTGTTTGTTTGTGTGTGTGTGTGTGTTTGTATGTAATATACTATGTACCTTTGTGTGTGTGTGTGTGTGTGTGTGTATGTATGTGCGTGAGTGTGTCACATTGTTTGTGTGTGTGTGTTTCTTTGTGTGTGTGTGTGTGTGTGAGTTTGTAATATACTATGTACATCAGTGTGTGTGTGTAATATACTATGTGGCTGTGTGTGAGCGTGTGTGTGCGTGAGTGTGTTACCGTGTATGTGTATGTGTGTGTGTGTGCGATTGTGTGTGTGTGTGTGTGTGTAATATACTACTATGTAACTTAAGAAAGACCATTTTGTCACGACGGCTTGTCATTGTGAGGCCAACATGATTTTTCTTGCTGTGGGTTACGTCAAATGTCCTATTGCAAAATTATTCCCAGTAATCGTGATTGCGATGATGCATGACTTGAGAACACTTCAACACGTTGGCGGTTTGTGTGCCTTCGTGACTGCTCTGTGTATGCTAAGGCACAACCCTGTCAAAACAATTCTTGGTAAACGTGTTTCTGTGTGTGTGACTTTGGAAAGAGCACTCCGACACGATGCCAAGGGTTATTGTGAAGTACGTGAGCCATTGTTTTGCCTGTAAATATTGACACACCTCTTGTACTATGGGATCTATCTTGGCTACAAAGTACATTTCCAAATCCAGTTACCCTTGACGTAAGCTTAAGCGTATCTTTGGGCCCGGCTAATACTTGTAGTGGCGCAGACAGTACCATTACCTTTTGCCTTAGAAACCAATGGTTGAATACGATGAAACATGTCCTCCAAAAAGTACTTTCTCACATTTCAATCTTAAAAATCCTTCTGCACACAAGGGTCTGATCCACTGCACGAAAAGTTGGATTTACCAAAGGTTGTAAACTCACTGACAGGTAATGTTTACTATGTACACAGTAATTGGCTTTACAATGGTATTAAGTAACGATCAATTGCAACAATTTCCTTTACAACCGTTAAAAGTCCGGTATTATCGTACTTGACTTTCAGTTGTTGAAGTTCAGAAGTGTTTATTAAAAAATAAAGTAAGTAGACATTACCCAACTATACTGGCCCGGTAAATCTACGTTTTTGTGCAGTGTGACCTCCTATATATGAAAGGAAAACATGGGGTCGACCAGCTCAAACAATGACCACAGCTGACAACAAAACTCTACTTTTCACCTCTCATGTATCCATCCACTATTGGCAAGCAAGACCTCATCACTGAGTTTCTCATTATCCCAACTTAACCCTACCTAGATCGGGCTTTTTGGGGCTTGGTGGGACCGGGGGAGGGGGGCGGGGGGGCTCATTTGATCCCCCCCCCTCAGAACTCACGAACGGTATGTTGTATGACCACCAATGTTTTAAAGAATGGTGTACAAGTCATTGTGTATTTTGTAATGTGTGCCCAGGGATACCTGAAAAGCAGATCAATGGATCTGAGGTATTCCCTGGTGAAATAAATAAACTTGACTTGAAGTAAAAAGTTATCATATCTACAATTTTCATGTCGTTACGACTTAATATGACGTCATTATGGCGTCATTAATGTGATTTTATTGGCCAAAACCGTCTAGATAGGTATAATGGTATACAACATAACTTTACCAAAAGTGTTTATGACAGAATATTAGGAATATTATGTTGCCCATAGCAATTGACCACTAGTTGAAAGCTTATGGATTAGGAAAGCATGTGTTCGGAAGGGAGTTCCATAATGTACCAAACTGTTAAAAAGGAGCTGTTGCTGTGAAAAGACTTTGAAACAGGAATTTTAACGGTGTAATAATGTGAACTGGAGGAACATAGTGTAATGCTGAAAAATTTTCAGTTGTCGAACGAATAGTCAGCGTTCTTTAAACAGTGTCTGTGAAAGTATCTGAAAAAGAGGGACAGGTAGGCAACGTTTCGTCTGTTTCGTCTGCAAAGTTTAATTTGCAGACAAAGAACGACCGATGGTCACACAGATTCTTATTTTAATGTGGTCTAAATTTATAGGCACCGGTTTAGTTCTTTGTTCCTTTGAGCGCGACCTCACGAGTTTGGCTCCCACGGTAATATATTCTGTGGCTGAAGTTGATGCTGTCTTGGAAACATAATTTCAAAAAAAATTCCAAGTAAACGTGTTACAGTGTGCGTCACTTCGACACATTTCAGATATTGTACGGTCCAAGGTCTTTGTGACAGCCGTGGCTATGGTCAAAGTCATGTTGACCGGATATATGGCCTCCTTCAGACAATATTGACCATACTACGTAAAACTTACTGATATCATAAATTGGCCCAATATGGCAGCTTCTGATCAATAGATTCTACGTAAATCGTGTTTCAGTGTTCGAGTCATTGTGTTATTTGTAAACATTGGCGCACCTTCTGTACATAATAGTGGCACGACTTACAGGTTAGAGACGGTATAAAAGGAAGCCAAGTTCAAGACTCAAGACAAACTGCGAGACGACGTCCACCACAGTACTTCAAACGTTTGGCAGAGAAGGGTCGGAAACTCTACATAACGGTAAGGTGGTCGTAACTTATTTCTTAAAATCACCTGCGGTATTTATAATCTTCGTAGAACCTTCGTCCGATACAGGATGGAAGGTACCTCGAAGCGGTTGATAAACTTTGCACGGTGCGGGCGAGGCGCGGAAGCGGGTCTCCCGAGTATTGCGCGAAGCTCGTACGGGGGATGACCGTATTCAGCGACCATCGTCAGATTTTTAAGACGAAGAACGGCCGAGACTCGTGGAATGTACGGTCGAATATCGGTCGACTCTCGGCCGCACAGGGGCGAGCTACGGGCGAGCTGGAAACGAGCTCCGCGCGACCTCAAAAATCACCGGCGACTAGTCGCTGAAGTAAAGAACACGTTTCGCGTGTCAGCGAGCTTCGGCCGACTCCGAAAAATCGCCGGCGATCCAAAAAATGCTCGACGGAACATCGGCCGTACTACTGCCGTTAATGTCGTTTAGAGCTCGCCGACTTGTCGGCAGGTCGATTAACGCACAATGTGAGGGTCCACCCTTTGGTAGGACGTTAAATTGAGGTCCCGTGTTTGGGTAGAGCCACGCACTTTACTTTACCTACCACGAGTAGGAGCATGCTACGGAGCATGATCGACAAAACACTACGTACTAGCCGGTGATTCACCATTACAGCCTCCAGGAAGAATAGTGTCAAAAGAACACTACTGGAAACGCCAGTAAAGCGAACAACATGCAAACTTTAAATCTGACCAGAGTACGCAGTAAATCGCCAGAAACGTGACTTTTCCATGTTTGAATTTTTGTTGTGTTTCGCCCCACAGAACCATGAGGATCTTCTGTGTTGTGCTGGTGGTGTGCCTGGCTGGTGCCGCCTCCGCAAAGTCCCTACAGGAGGTGGAAGAGTTGCTCCAGGCCCTTCGCGAGGCGATTCAGACCGCCGATAAGGAAGCTGTACCTGCCGATAAGGCCGCTGTGCCTGAGGGGAACGCCAAGGTTGGTCTTGATCTTGTTTGGTTACTGCACAACGCCCCTAAATTGGGGGTAAAGCGTGCAGGGGTGCTGTGAGATGCGCTATTGCTGCGTCCTCAAGTGTTGTAGTACTGCAGAGTTGAACTTCGTAGGTTCCGCAGTATCAGTTATTTCTTGAGGAAAAATGTTCCAGTCTCTGACAGTTTGTGGAAAGTATGAATATCTGTAACAGTCTTTATGAAATGTCAGTGGCTTGTATGAGTTGGAGTTGAAGTGTCGCGATTGGCGCGGGATAGGCGTCAACAGAGTTTTGACCGGAAGGGCTGTTTTTAAGTATCGTGCTTTTTGTAGTAATGTGGGTCTACTTGCTGTGCGTCTGTCCTTTAATGTGTCCCACCCTAAATCTGTGACCAATTTGGTGGTGCTAGCATATGTGTCATAGGTATTTGAAACGAATCTGGCCGCTCTTTTCTGGACCGATTCTAACTTGTGAATATGTTCCTTGTAGTACGGATCCCACGCAGCGCTAGCGTATTCTAGATGTGGTCTAACTAAACTAGTGTTTAGGGTCTGGGTCTGGGTCGGCCAGACATACTTCTTGAATTATTGAAACAAAACTGTAAGATGAAAAGGATAACTTGGCAGATTTCCGTTGTTGAAAAATTAATAGAGATAAGTAGTAGTAGTAGTTCTGTAGTAAGCCTTTATTTAAACTCGAACGCTTGTTCGGTACATACATATGACCGCTTTTCAACAAGGTCGTGGGTGAGGGTGGGGTCATGGATTACAAAACAAATCAAACCAAAATATAATACAAAATCAAACCAAAATACAAATCAAAATATTATACAAAAATAAATAGTAAAAAAAATAATAAGCCTTCTACCCTGTTATGCAGTATTGTCTAGTAGATAATAGATGTTAAAAACAATTCAAGTTGAGACAGTTAGGGTGAGTATTACAGGTACGTTAGGCCATTTTGATTTTATTATATGGATGACATCCTCTGGGATCCAATGGCGAATAATAGACTTTTTATTTTTATTAATTAACATTTTCTTTTTTTTCCTTTGGACTTGATTAATTATCATGATTTTGGCATTGGTATCGTTCTCCAATATTTTTTTTTCAACCTTCAGCATATTCAGTTGCTGTGTACGATTTACAGTATGGTCGAAAAAGTTTTGTTTGGAAACAGACGAAAATTCATACGTGTATGTCATCCATATAATCAAATCAGCATGGCCTTACTATAAAAGAAAACTCTCATACCTTATAACATTTATGATAGTACCGCGATACTGTCCACGTTTTGTAAAGGTGCATGCTCTGAGATGTACTGCATTGGGTAGTGGCTTGGATACACAACTGATTCAGAACGCAAAATACGGGCATTTATATAGTATATTGTCGCAAATCACGAGATATTTGCCCGAGAGATTAGGAGACATACATGCTATAGCTATAGGCCCACCCGAAATCGGTTCTGGCAAACATACGGAGGTCGCGTGGCGTATGCGGGGGCGCGTGGCTTAATGGCAGAGTGCTCGAATCGGAACCCATAGGTCCAGGGTTCGAGTCCTGACATGTCACCGATCTTGTGCTCCTGGGAAAGGCACTTTACACGACTTTCCTCAGTCAACTCAAGTAAAATGAATGAGTATTGTCCTGTTCCGTATTTGTCCTCTGCGATAGTGACGGCATGAAGTTGATATAAGGCCACACCAAGTAAATTTTATGGATGACGTCCTTTGGAGACCCTAAATCTAGGGCCAAAAAAAAAACAAGAAAGGCCCTAAAAAACAAGATGCCTAGATTAGAAATATACTAAGAGACGACAAATGTTAGGACACAAATTGAATGAGGTGACACAGTGTAACAAGCAAGAAGTCTTTTATTCATAATCAAAACAGCAATAAATCAGGCGGAACAGTAGTTGTCGTCCTGTCCTGTTTTCGTGTTACGGGTTTCACGTCAATTTGACGATTTGCAGCACTGTCGTGACTCTTTGGTCATAGTTACAGGAAGCAGAATTTCTTGTTTTTTTTTTTTCTAGGAACAGGCCAAAATCAATGCGCGCGCGGACGTCATCCATAAAATTTACTTGGTGTGGCCTAACTTGAGTTTGCCGTCACCATGTCTAGTCATGAAATGTTGGAATAAAAAAAAACAACAACATACGGAGCTTCGGTTAGGGAAACCCTATCGGATAGGACGTAAAGCTGGGGGTTCGTTACATTTGACTCGAGAACATTATTTTATTAAAGTCTGTCCTTTACTTTTAGGGAGAAGCAGAGGTCGTCAAAGTGAACGAGAAAGGCGTGGTCTTTGCCGAACGAATCGCTTTTGATGACGCCAACAACTGTGAGACTCTTCACGTGCCTGCGCACAACGAGCGGGCAGAGGTCGACATTCGGCACTGCTTCGATGACAAAAAGGTGAGAGCAAACTCGGTAAAATATTACCTTATGAAGCATGTTTTAACTGTAGTGTCTAATGCAGAAAACTGGACTTACCCAAATCTGTATAAAATTTTAAACCTTCAGACTTTGTACAAGGAATGAGAGATTTATCACTTGTATGATGCCACGTTATACTGATGGCACACGGGATTCGCTGAACAGTGTCTTATAGGTTGTAGAAAGTCTGTGGCGTGCCCCGTCTTTGTTGAGGGATGGTTGCAATTTCGACCTAATATAGATGGCCACTCGTACAAAAAGGTTGTGCAATCATATATTATGGTTTTACTTTCTTTTGGGTGGGGCTACTTTCTTATGTTGAAAATTACTTAAAATGGCTTCTATAAAGTACGCAGGTGATCTTTAACGATAAGATACTAGCCTAACAAGCCGTCAAGGTTCTTTTTCTGGTAGCAAAACCTGACTTTTACAACAAAAACCAAATACGGCACCAAATATGGCATTGCGTTGTTCCCTTGTCTTGTTCACATCTAAATCTATGCAAGGAAATAAATGTCATTTGTTTCATGAAATATTTCAGGAATATATACATGTACAGCTTGGCTTTCCTTTGGGAATGTGTAAACGTGGTGACAAACCCCCTTTTATAACCTCTTTAGGGTTCGTCCGGTACGTCCATGTACTGCATCACTCAGGAGTCCCATTGTTTCCTGCTTCCCGTGGCTAAAGAAGGGGAACCGGGTCTTCAGCAGCAGGAGGAAGGCATTCAGGAGTTTGAGGTGAATATTATTTCTGTCTATTCGATGTTAAAGACGAGGTACGGACAAGAAAATTACCTTTCTGAAATACACAATTTTGAAGTTCGTAGATCGATTACAAAGATGAGAATTTCTTGCCATAAATTGAATATAGAATTAGGAAGATATAAAAAAATCCCTCGCGACCAGAGGTTTTGTCCATTCTGTCCCAATGATATTGAAGATGAACAACATTTTATTTTGAATTGTACACTATATAACGATAAACGCACAAAGCTGTTCAACCTTCTCTCCGCCTGCTCAACAGAATTTGTTACATTTCATGCTATAGATAAATTTAAGTTCATCCTAGAAGGCAATAACCCTTACTGTGTACAAATAGGTAAATATATAAAAGAATGTTTAGACCTTAGAACAAGTAGTATTAGTTGACCCACCTATTGTTCTGTACGTAGAATATTTTCGTTATACCCATGTATAATTGTCTGTATATCTACATGTCTTTGACCTTACAAAAGTCGCTTTGTTGTGTTCTTCTTCTACTAAAATTATTATCTTGTGTGTGGATGGGAGGGGAGGGGTGCGTGTGTGGGGTTGGGCGTGTGGTCGGTCGTGCGTGTGAACGTCTGTAGGGAGGGGCGTGTTTCCGTATGTTTGTGTATGTGTAAGTCCATATGTATGTTTCTGTGTCTGTTTTATCGTCTATGTGGGTATGTGTGTGTCTGTGTGTATCTATGCCTTGTTGTTTTATGTGTGTTTGTGTGTATGCACTTGCGTGTGTGTGTTTGCGCGTGTGTGTGTGTGCGCGCGCGCTTCAGTGAGGGCCTGCAAGGGGGGTAGTGATTACGAATTACGCAAAATTTTCGCCGCCTATTACGGATTACGTTGAAGTCTCAGAGCTGATTACGACTTTACGATTTGCGGCTAATGTCTTATTACGAATTACGTTGGTTTTTGCGGAGGCTGCCTACGAATTACAAAGTCTAAAACGGCCTGATTACGCCTTACGAAAAAGGGCTTGCAGGCCATCTTCAGTGTGTGTTAGTTTGTTGTTTGTGACCGTGTGTGCTTGTGTGTGTTGTGTGTGCTTGTGTGTGGCTGCATGCATGCGTTCGCGTTTGTGCAGTTGACTGACGCCAGTGTGCATGTCAGCCAAAGTAAAACACGAATGCCGGTAAAACACGAATGGTTCTCTTGCTACAGAACCAAAACAACGCTGTCCTCGACGCAAACGGCATCGACGTCCAGGACAACAAGTGGGTCATTACCGGCGTAGCAGACCGCTCGGGTCTGCCCGAACCTCTCGCCACCTTCAACCCAGACTTCAAAGTCTTCTATGCAGCCAAAATGGACGAAGACGCAGTCATTCTGCAAGAAGGTGCTGTCGTCCCGGAAGAAAGTAAGTCAACAATGTCAGCTGTTTAAAGTTAAAACTCTTTATTTTCCAATGCAAACAAGACTGGCAATGTAAACATAAATTCCCATGGCGATGGTGGTTGATGTTAGGGTTATTTTTTGTATGGCACTGCCCACGGCGGTCTGTTACTACGGTATTCTTTCCCATTGCTGGGGACGTTCGATAAAGTATCGGGTTACAAGACGCAATTTTGGGCTAACCGCAATACATTTGAAAATAAACAAACTAGTATCAAAGGGAAAATTTCGTTGAAATAAAATAAAATTATTGTCTTTACATGCATTCAATGGTGATTTTTTGCGCTAAATGGATGATTTTTTCGCATTTCGTTAAAAAAGTCGATAATTGTCGCGATTTCGCAACGCCATATTTTAGCCAATCACCGAGCAAACCTGGCTACACATATTACGCAAGATCACTGATTTTTATATTTTTCGACGACTAGGAATAAGATGAAAAATCGTGCTTTTGGGATTTTTTAATTTCTGACTCTAAGTATAGTTTTTATCGACAAAGAGGTGAAAAAATCGATTTTTTTTGCCTTTTTTCGCACTCAATTACCCATAATTCAAAATCGAGGGCATTTTTCAAAAATCCCAAAAGCACGATTTTCGGGACAATCGTGACAGTCATTTTGAGCCGTAAATGGGGTATGTTTGGCTCTCCATGTTTCTAGGTTTGAACGAGGTTTGCAGACGTGTCATATCGCCCGAAAGTGTACATTGTGTTATTCATACAAGCGTAAAGAATCATTACAGTATTCAAGGTCACCCAAGGATACGACAGTAGTTTCGCTACATGTTACATACCCACCAAAAATTATAGCGGACATGTACTGTCCAGGAAACTGTCTGTATCTATAGAAAAGTGTTGATTTTTATCTGTTGCGCGGCACTCAGAGAGAAGGGCTTGTTTTGCCGCTTTATTGTAAATGACCGCGGGTGACCCCGAAATAGAACGCGGGTTCGATTCGAATTGCCCAGATCGAACACGATCGAAAACTGTTCGGATTCTATGAAATGTGGGGACTTTGCAGCCCAGATTTGACCACCGTGGCCATGATATCATGATTTTGAGAAAGCATTGTTAAGTCTTAGCAGATACAGTGCACTCCTCCCCTTAGTGTATAGTGAACGAGCCCTGGGTCACAAAAGGAAGAGCATTTCGGGCAGACAGGTCTTCCCAAGGGTTTCCGGGAATGTGGGCATAGATGAACAGCCGGGAGACATTCTTGTGGACATTCCATTCCTGTGAACAAAATTCCTGTACGATTCCTAGAATTCTTGCAAACTGCACACAATACTGTACCATTAATTACATTAATTAGGCTCCTCTCTGAGACGTCGCCAACTAGACATTTCGAGTCACTCTAGTCTTGCTCTATGGAATGACCCTATGAGACTTGTCATGTGGCTTTTCTAAGGTGTAGTGTCAACACTGGGTTAAATGTTTATGGTTTATGTCGGCCCCCGTCGCGGTTGAGTGAAGGGCAATGGCCCCTGATGTAATTGTAAATTTCAGCTGTTATATATCTTGGCAGACACTTTAAACGCATTATAACACTGGGTTTAAAAATAAAACATCTAGAATTTCTGATTATGTCACACAAACATTTGTGTCCAAGTCATTTGGTGTCATTTCAGTAATGTACCCTGACTACATGTATATAGGCGATGCTATAATGTGCACGTCATAACTTATTTTTTTAGATGACAAGCGGAGCCTGTTCGGTGGATGTTCTAACGGTGCCATCCCCCAAACGATGTACGCCGTGACCGACCGGAACGGGTGTGAGTACCTGGTGTTCTGTGACCGACACCCTGTGAGCGGGACCGCCGACTGCCCCCGTCGCCACGTCACAGACACCTTTTTCCTGGTAAAAATACTCACGAATTCTTATATATGTTTACGGAAGGAAAACACGTTGTTTTTGCTCTGTTTCTCCTTACGTTTCAAACACAAAATGTCATTGAACCTGAACCAGCCGTCTGTCACCATGGTAACTGGTGTTGGGTTACATCATGTTACAATTTTACAGCATAATGGATTTAGACTCCTGTCACCATATATATGAATGTGTTTGAGTAAGAAGTAACAGAGCAGACCATATGCGAAGGTAAACATAATGCATTCGCTTTGCAAATGTCACCCGTCTAGTGTAAAGCTATATTATGTAACATAATTTAGGTCTGAACAAACGTTTTTTTTTCATTTATTTACAAAGTACGTACACACTAAAAGTAGACTGCATATAAGTGCCATTAAGGAAGTGGAGGTGTCAAAATATTACACAATACGAGTGTGTTTAATTAAAGAAGCTGGAAACACACCATCAGTTACATTCTGGTATTTTGTGGTGGCGCCAAAAAGTAAGTATACCTCGCGTTGGCTGTTTTACAAAAACGTCAAAAGTTTTAAAAAAATAACACAAATGGGTGAAAAGTGGACCTTATCAACTCCATCATTTAAAATTATAAGTATATTGATTAGATTAATACTTTTATCAATGGCTGTTCGACTACAGATCACATTATTCACTAGCGAATAGTAGTGAAGGTTACAGGACTAGTATTTGAAAGGTTTTCAAAACATTTTTAGTTGCAGTACCACATTCCTTTGTATTGCATGTATATGTCGGAATGTGCAGAATGTGCCCATTCATAATGAATGCAACGTTATAACACTGCACGCTCGTAGCTAGGATAGGATTCCAACTCCAGAGACTTTTGAGCAAAATTTGAATCTCGTTTTGCTAAAAGTTGTAATATCATGTTAAAATTTCTTACTGCAAATGCTCCAAGACTGTGCAGTCGTTGATGTTTTTGAAAAGGATGTACATCTCTGAACGCAATTAAGCTTTCTGCATGCATGCTGCAATGTACATGGTTTTAGCAATAAACCATTATGATTGATTGATTGATTGATTGATTGATTGACTTGTCAAGTCTTACTAAAACGTTTCATTTTCCAGACTTGCCTGTGCTGCCCCGGGACCACCCATCACAGCCAATGCCTGTACTGCAATGACCTCACATGCAACCACGGCTGCCCGAGTGGTTGAAACAAGTGACAGGCCAGCAAGATACAGCAGGCATAGCCGGAATGCAAGCTCAGATATTGCCTTTCGTTAGGGCTCTAGAAGATTATTAAAACGCAACTTCAAGCAATTAATTTTTTTAAACTGTGACTATGATTCACAAAAAGACTAAAATTGTACCAATAAAACTATGTTGTAATTAATATTTTAACCTCTCCAAGTGACATATCTGAATTAACCTATCACAACTTATCATTGTATGATCATTTTGCTCTAAATGATATAAATGTCCTAATGAATGTGAGAATTAGTAAAAGATATTATTCAATTTAAACCTCACAACATACAAACTGTCTTGAAAAACCCCTTTTCATGCTGTACAAGGCATTTAGGTGTCCGTTGAAAACAAACAACGTGCCTGTGATTTATTTCCAGTGCTAAGATAAAAACAATTGTAGAATCTGTACTTCACTAACTGTATTGAGAAAATCATTGTTTGTGCTGTTGGGATTTTTTTTTAATCATTGGTGATTGTCTTTAAGATCAATCTTAGTACTCGTCTTACATACTTCTGTGTGAGCAGTGTCCTTGCTTTTTGTATACCCAAGACATTTAGCAACAATAAAAGTGCTTTGCACAATTTTGTGGAGTCAATGGTATCACTGTTACACAACACTACGTGCTTTAACAGGTAGCCTGTATTTAATACTACGACAAATATTGTGCCGAGGTTTACTGACAGGCACACGGCAGTAATACATACACACAAGTACATCTTTAAAAAGTACTACATCATAACAACAAACTTTGTACATATGGAGAACGAAGAAAAATTTTGCTTCTGGGCGTTCTGCTTTGAGATTATATTGCAAAAATTGCAAAGTCATTGTACTGTGTACACGACGTAACACACACACACACGCACACACACACACACACACAAACACGCACACAGACATTAGGCCTAGCTATAGTGTCGACCAAAGGTCAACTTATTCACGTGTATACACTGTAAGTATTTTGAGCCATGATGGCTGACTGTTGGGGTGTCCATGCGTCTGTAGCGCTGCCTCTAATGCTAGTGGTGGTCTTTGCTTTAACATGTGAATCAGGTAAGGCTGACATTTTTTTTTTCACGGGCATGTCTTTTCCTTTAGTCTTAGCGGACTGTTTTTGAATTGCGGTTAGTTGTACCTGGCTACATTTAGTTCCTATCATAAATCGTTGTCGATAAATCCTCTGTTAAAATATAAGGAACACCTGGTCCGTTACCGAAATTCTTTGTAGCACGTTAGTTCGTATTTTGAATTCATATGTAAGAGTTGTTGACAAAGTATTAGCACCGCAAAGTCCAATCCCAGAATGACCCAATAGTCCCAACAAAGCATCTGGGTGTTTGCAGACTTTAAGTTTTACATACCAGACACCCCCATGGATATCAACTTGTAAACAAAACCTTATTATCTATTTCTATGTGTTTGTCAGGATCCAACATTTGTTTTTATTTGTGAGTAAGTAGTATTTATGTTATGACCCCCTGACACTCCTCCACGCTCGACCTCTATGAAAAGCGGCCGAAATAGCGGCCGATTAGAGCATGTAACACAGTTACAGGTCGAGTTGAAATAAAGGCTCAAACAAACAAACAACCATACAGGCTAAAAGTTATAGAACAGTAAGTTCACATGCTATTTAGTGTATCCCAGAAAGCATTCAAGTATTAAAAGAGGCTGCTGACGGTGACATTTGACACCGTTTACAGCTGGTATTGTCATGAAAAAAATAGCGGCCATTTTGAAATGGAAAAAAAAAGAACAAACAAAACTATACAGAAATGTAGCAAAAGGATAACAGTGGGAAATTTAACAACTTGAAATGAATTTTTGGCGGTCATTAGGAAGTTGTATCGAAGTGTTTGCGGCATGTTTTGTGTGTGCATTTCCTTTTGAGTGACAGCATGTTGGTAACAACAGACCACAAAAGGTCAGACACAGGTGGTTAGGTCCCAAAAACTGGTCCGGGTTTTAACAGGAAGTAAGTGGAAAACGGACTTTACGGATAAATTAACAATGGTTTGTTAATAATGATGAACAAAAGAAGAAAAAAGGGAAAATTTCAATAAGGCAATTAACAAAACATCAGCCAAAATCAGAAAGGTAACATTTGCAAAGCAACTGTAAAATGTTTACCTTTGCATATGGTCTGCTCTGTTATTTCTTACTCAAACACATTCATGTATATGGTGACAGGAGTCTAAATCCCTCCTACTATAAAATTGCAACATTATGTAACCCAACAGTTACCATGTTACCATGGTGATGACGTGGTGACGGCACACTCAAGTTTTTTTTTCAACTTATATTAATGCCGCCACCAACACAGAGACAATACAATACTCATTTTCACCTAAGTCTAGTGGGGAAAGTCGTGTAAAGTGCCTTTCCCAAGGGCACGAGATCGGTGGCATGTCAGGACTCGAACCCGGGACCTCTTGATTCCGAGTCGCGCACGCTGCCGTTGCGCCACACGACCCCACAAACACGTGATTGCAGCAGAGGGTCATACGTGTCAGATGACCTATAGAAGAGTCCATTCCGTCGTCGGCAGAAAATTTGGGTAAGTCGGACCAATTTAATCAGTGTTGGCAAGAACGTTTAGCCCTTTTTTGCCAACTATGAATAAATAACAAATACGGAAGTAACTTTGGGCACAAAAATCAAGGGGCTATGACGTGATTGAAACATAATTGTTTTAGTATATTGGGTAAAAAAAAGTCAGCAGGACAAGAGTTGGATATGAATAAATTCTTTTAGTGACAAAGATCAAAATAATGTACCTTTGAGATTATTATGGTCTTTTAAGACGCCTTGAAAATGACACTAGCAAAGTATCCATAGCACACTGCTATTTTCTTTCGTTATTATAGTTCGATGTGGCTCAACATTACTGATGAAGGCTCTGGAAGCGGGCTTCGAAATGCACACTTTGTCACAGTCTGACGTATACTGCAACTTTGTACGCCCTGTCGAGGAAGGACATGACTGAAGATGATATGGGGATTCTTTTAGACGCCATCAAACACATCAACACTCTCTTCAACTACACTCTACTGCAGGAAGACCCATCGAAAACTGTGATCTGTTACAAAATGCGGGGTCAGGTTAGTTTGCTCTACATGCTGACAAACCTGAACTGGTATCGTTACTTGCAATGGTGTGTGTGTGTGTGGGGGGGGGGGTGATTGTGTGTGCGTGAGTATCTGCGTTTGTGTTTAAGATGTGCGACACACTAAATACTATGTTTTTAAAATAGTTACATCAGGTTGGTAGAGAATAGGATGTAGGGTTTTCAACCAATATTCAATTTGTCTCTTACCTTGTTTACGTTTCATCAGAGACAGAGCTTCTGGCTGGAGTTCTGCTTCTCGCCGCTATGTGTAGCCAAACTCAGCCAAGTTCGGGGTTGTGTTCTCACCGCAAAAGCGCAGGCTGGCCTTCAGAATACATATAGCGACGAGAAGCAGAACTCAAGCCAGAAACTCGAGGATGGTGTCTGATAGACATCTACAAGTTAGCAAGATAAGAGGCAATATTGATTGTGTAAAAGAAAACCAAAATATATACTAAATGTTAACGTTGTAGCTGTGTATATTTGTAATGTACTTGTTATCCTCTATGTGGACGTACGTTTATCAGCCTGTAAGTCTGTGTAATGTGTTGTTTGTATTTGAAATAAATAAATATATATACTAAATATAGTAGCATCCTTTTCAGGTGTTCCCGGATCGGTCGTTTTTTTGTGGTGGTGGGGTATTTTCTGATCAAACGTAGATCGCAGGTTCCCCGTGGAGCCATGCAGTGTTGACAGCCGGAGCTTCTATTGCGTGCGATCTACGTTTGATCAGAAAA